TCATCGAATGGAGTTGCCTTCTGGAACACTCACTACAAAACAAATTAGAGAAATTACATTTCCTGTGAAAATGCAGTGCTTATTGCAGAAGAACTTGCTGAAAAAACAGCTGAAATGAGCTTAAAAATCATGCTGAAATGAAAGAACAAGTCTAAATTAGCAGAAAGAACACATTTGATGAATTAGGTTAAAATAAACAGAAATGAGCACAAGAAAATCAGCTAAAAAAGGCTAAAATTAGCACAAAAAACCCAACTAAAAAATTGCCAAAAATGCAGAAAGAAGCTTAACCTAAGAAAAAGAAGTGGAAAGAGCTGAAATGAGCGCAAACAATGGAGAATTAGCTGAAAAAGACAAGATTTACATTATCAAACAGCTAAATAGTAGACGAAATAGCAGAAATGGCTGACACTAGCATAATTAAGCTAAAAGGAGCATGACAAGCTGAAATTAGAATAAAGAATTTAATTAGGCTGAAAGTAGATTAAATTACCAAGAAAAACTTGACTTTATCAGAAAACAGCTGGAATTAGCTAAAAAATGCTAAAAAAAAAAAAGTAGCTGCAAAGGTTGAACAAGCTTAAATTAGCAGAAGAAAGCAGAAAGAACACATTTGTCCAATTAGGCTGAAAGAAGCAGAAATGAACACAAAAAAGAGGAAATTATCTGAAAAAAGCTGAAATTAGCCAAAAAATGACTGAAAAGTAGCTAAAAAGGCAGAAAAAAAAGCTGAAATTACAAGAAGAAAGTGGAGAGAGCATGTTTGCTGAATTAAGCTGAAAAAAAGCTTAAATGAATACCAAAATGTGTAATTAGCTGAAAAAGCTTAAATTAGCATAAAAACAGCTATATAGTAGTTGAAATAACAAAAAATCTGAAAGGAGCATAACACGCTGAAATTAGCAGAAAAAATAGAAGAACAGAAAAGTTGTTGTTAGCAGAAAGAAGCACAAAAGACCTGAAAAAAAACCAGCTGAAATTAGCTAAAAAAAGTTTAAATTTGCACCAGGAATCTGAAAGAAGCCGAACCAAAACGAGAGTAAAAGGCTGTAAACAGATCTAAAGACTTGAAGGACGTAAAATGAGCTCAACTCATTTTCTATGAGGAAAAATGTAGCAGAAAAGGCTAAATATTTCAAGAAGCTAAAGTTGCAGCAGGATTGATCTGAAAGAGCCGAACGTTTTCATTGATGATTTATTGAAATAGCTTGAAAACTGCGGGACGAGGAACGCACCGAAAAACGTATGGAAGAAAATTGGATGAAGCATTCACACAATTAGGGAGCAGAAATAGCCATTCACACACACACACACACACACACACACACACACACACACACACACACACACACACGCGCGCACACACGCGCACACACAGAACAGGGCTCACTACTGGCTGCTGGCCCGCTCAGTCTGAACATCGTAGATGGATACAGAACCATCCTGCATCCCTACAGCCAGCTGGCTGGTGTTGTTGGCTGAGAAGTCCAGGCACGTCACTCCACTGTGGCAGGAGTAGACACGTTCAGGGCGCTGCAGGAAAACATACATTTCGCTTGAACTGCTTCTTTGAATGTTTCATGGTGGCTAAAGAAAACAAGGGTTACATAAAGGTTTCAACTTACTGTTGGGTTTTTTAGGGACCAGCAACAAATGAGACCTGGTGTTGGGCTCCTCGAGTCACATTCACAGTAGCCTACAGCCAGGACATCCTTAAAAACAATTCAGTGCACACGAAGAGGCATCAGTGATGTGAAACATTCATCAGTGTTTAAACAAGGTCAATAGGCCCTCTGACTTAAACTGCTGCATGCTGGCATTTCTTCATTTGCTCATAGGTTGCTATTGTTCAAAGTTGTATAAAGAAATTCAAACGTTTATTACAAACATAAAATACATACAAAGACAAGAAGCAGAGGCAGGAAGTGCTCTCTCAAAGCTGCACTGTCTAATGTGTTTATACCGGGTGTATTTTGTTCCACGCCATGCTGGTTGCGTCGTATCCTTTGGTGAGGTCGCAGACAAAAACCCAAAGACGTTCCATCGTTGGAGTTAAACGCTCGTCATCCTCTTCACGCCGTCCTTCCAGTCCAGGTTTCACTGAGCACTCAGGGTCTTACACAACCAGCACCAGGACACTTACACTGAATGCAACACTGACACTGCAACATTATTTTTCACACTACAGTACTTTGTAGCATCCAAAAAGTATCAAATATAAT